AAGTATTCCGGTCTTTTCAAACTTTCTCTGTCTTCACTCCAGTCGTTAGTCTGTCATCCACGGTCTCTTTACTGTGCTTATTTACAGGTAATGGCCTCCGCCGCAGAAGAGCAGCGGATGGTCGACTCGGAGCCATCGGAGCCTTCACCTATAGCCCAACGCAAGCCATCTATTCAAAAACCTGAGGATATCCTCGATCGGTTAGGTGGGTGTCACTAATTCAATATGGAGTATTTGATCAGTTTAAAAAACACTCGTTCAGGCGCCCGTCATCGACGCTTAGTGATTGCTATTGTGTCGTGCAGTTTTGTGTGGGGTTTTGGTGCCCTTTCAATCATGTCAAGTGCGTTCACATCCAATTGATTGCGGTAACTGCACCGATGCGATGATCACCGTTGTCAGCGAGGTATTTCATCAAACGATATTTTTGAAACCATTTAGTTCACTTGAAGAGGAAAAAATAAAAGGTGAAGTGGTCGACAATGTTAAACGCCCGTGAGGTGCGCCATGCATTCGACTTTCTTCTAAAATCACTGTAACATTTGAATCACTATTGAGTTCATAAAATATCTCATTGATCATCAGTTCTGTGTTTTGATCCCTCATATACAATTCGAGTGGCAAGTACTTCTTCTTGCTTCTCGACCTCTATTCGTCCCGGGCACGCCAGAAACGCAGGTCGCACATCTTCCAGGTCGCTCTGCTTCGGGCTCTTCTGCGCCACAGCTGGCCGTACAACTTTACGAGGGTCTGCCCATCGGGTGGATGGGCCACATCTTGTGGGTCCTGGTTTCCCTCTTGGGTACCTGTCAGCCACTCTCTTGGCCCAGCGATATTAACAAGGGCCGGCACCATAAAAATGAAAAGCGCGGTTGGCTGGGCGCGTTCAGATGGGAAAAGCTCTATACCTCTTATCTGGTTTACTGTTGTGCTGTTGGTGAAGCTCTTGAAGTGCAGGGAACAGCTTTACCATAGTTCCGCAAGTGATTTGACGTTTTACCAAATGAAGTGATCTGCATTTGAAGAAACGTTTTTAACACATTGACGACAACGCGAGTTTTGGCTTTTTTGGCCACGTGGGACCGCGGCGATTTTGCGGGCGCGCTCGCCTCAGGTCGTTCAAGCAGATTTTGAGTGATAAATACACAACTAATGATCAATTCAAAACCAAATCAGTAAATTGTAATGAGCGCAACCTACCAGGGGTACAGTAGTGGAATTTCGATCGAAAGACATGGAGTAACAATGAAAAAGCGAAATTGGTCAGAACTAGCTGCAATGGACCTCAAAAGCAATTTTACGTTGATTATTCCAATCAAAACACACATATTGTCATCCCTAAGGTTCCTTATCTACTTCTACTACTATTTAAATCTTCACATTAATAAAAAGAAAAAGTAACGAAAAATTTATTGAAATGAAGATTTCGTATGGTTCAGAAATCCTCCTCTAAATTAAAGTATACGTGACCATTCTAAGGGCCACTATGTTTGTAGCTACGTCAAGGTCTCTTCCATGGAATGAATACAAGAAACTTCTAAAAGAATCAGGCGTGCGCGAAAAAAATGAGTGTAATGGGTGCGGGGGATATATATCCCGCACGGTCCGACATGGCCTGCAATGCGCGGGATATATATCCCCCGCGTTGTCGTCAATGTGTTAAGCAAATGCCGCAAAAGATTGTTGGCATGACCGCTTCTGCTAATCGGCTATTACAGTACGCCTAGGAGCCGCTCTCAATTCACGAAAATGCTTGAAAAGGTACCAGAGTAGGGCCTAGCATGTACTATTCACCCGCAGGTTTCTATTTCTCACCCGCAACATGTAGAATCTCTGCGCTCTCTCTACGTCGTGCTCTCTCACGCCTAGCTTCTCCTCTGCACGCAATGCCCCGTCATAGCATGGCCTACCTCTCAGGAGCTGAAGGCGTTCAATTAATTTCCATTTTTTCTGTTACTCGTAGTTCAATCACCTCCTTTTTTGCTTCGAGCGCAGCAACTTTAAATTTTGATTGCAGATCTCTTTAATTGTGCTTCATAGTATATGCACTTAGAGAGCTACTGATTTGTAAAGTAGCGCATTACTTGTTCGAAATTATCGATTCATTATTAGATATCGCATTATTTGGTGAACATTTAAAATACCGTATCTTTTGCAGTTTGATCTACGTGGTGATAGACTGTACTTGGCAGAATGGAGTACTTCGTTCTTTATGGTTGGGAACATGCTTGGAGGTTGCAGTCTTTCCTATGCTGCTGATCGGTAAGGCTTTCGACCGTGGAGGTGGTTTGTATCCACAAAGGTGAATATAAGTGATGCAAGAAAAGTGTAGCGTCCGGTGCGATATTTCACAGACTTAAATGTCTTTCGGAGAAAAGTAATAATAGATTGTTGATCCGCTGCATATTGCGCAGCTATTGGAGAGGGCTAAAGCGGGAAAATATAGTTCTGTTTTCACACATGACCATAGAAGGAATTTAGGCAAACAACGAATCTGGGATTGGATAGGAAAATTTTAAAACGGCATAAATCTCAGACGCCGCTTGGTACCCATATGAGCGTGCGAAATGTCAATGTCTACAAGATCACTACAGAACGAAGTGAATCTTACATAATTTTCAGGCCTTTGGAAGACGTCCTCTTCTTCTGATTTGTCTGGCTTTTCAAGCGTTCTTCACCCTTCTAGCCTCAATGTGCTCATCCGTACATCTCTTCTCCATCTGTCGACTTCTTCAGGGCGCGTGCTATACGGTGCGTATCCTGGTAGTTATGAAGTCAAATCGTTTAAGAAGATCCCAGAGATTATCGTCGCTCTGGACCTTCTGTTCTTTTTTCTTTAAGACTCACCATATGTCACCTTGTCGACTTCAAATTTCAACGGTATCGGCTTTGCCTTATAAAAGGAGGATCCCATTGGCAAAGGTCGAAGAAAGGAAAACTTACCTTAGAGAGGCAGGTGTGGAAAATAAATAAATAAATGTTGAAAATAAGGTACCCATCCATATGAAGGGCAATTCGTGAGTGGGAGGGGTCATCAAAGTAGCCTGAATCACATTGATCCATCTCTATGCTTTTAGTCACTTTCTTGGTCGTCCTAGCCTTAGTTCTTACTGTCTGTGCTCATCTTTGCCATGTGTTTTCAGTTAGATGCTAAGGATGTTAAGGCATTCTCTTTCTTGTGACTCGACTTCTGAAAATTAAGGTTGCTTTCAGGGTGCTAATTTAGTCGCGTGGGTTACCGCTTACGAGCACACCCACCCCGATCTGCGGTCGTTCACCACGTTTCTATTCGGAGCCACATGGGTGCTTGGCTATTCCGTTGTTGCTCTACTGGCTTACATTTCGGCGACGTGGAGAGAAATGATGATCTGGGGAGCAGGATCGACTTTCATCTTCACTTTGTGGTGTTGGAGGTGAGACAAGACCAAATTTCCAGTACTATTTCTGTGATCATCCTTCGAAACTCTAGAAAACCAGTGAGATGTATTTCGGAGCTCCAATCGTTTGATAACACCATCAGACTCTTTCGAAACCTAGCACTCAGATGCACCGAACTACGCCTATCTGTAAAAGCAGCTGGAGAGTTTGGCTGTAGCACTATGATGGCATACGATTCAGGGCTGCTTTAAACTGTTCGATCTTTTCCATGAAGCCATTGTATAGTTTCCACCTGATAAACTACAGCCGAGTTTATTATGAGTATCGCTTGAAATGACTGTGCTCTTGAAGGTCCAATAGTTCCCACCAGGATCAACATGCGTCAGGAAACCCGCAATAATAGCAGAAGGTCTCCACTTTGACTTAAAGGCACAGCCCGCATTCAAATTTTGCGGATCTTCCTCTCCAAAACAGACAATAGGTACTATGGAAGCTGTCAGCGAAAAAAAAAACGAAGAAAACCACACTAAACCACTCACAAAACTAAAAATTAAGTCATATTTTCTTGCTTGTGAAATCAACTGCGTGCGCCGGCGAGGCAATGCATGGTGAGGGAGGGATACGAGAAAGCACCTCGTACGAGTGTGCGCAGATGCCGACCATGCTTTGAATGAGTAAAAATAGCAGCGGTCGCAGCAGTCAAGAGAATGACCTCATTATCGCGCAATTTCGAGTCGCAACAGTGCCACGACTTCTGCGGTGTTGAACCTGCCACCTCACTCACCGAAAGAATTGCTCTCAAAATCAAATCGCGGCGGTAAGAAGCTTTTATTTGATTCAGGTCGGGGAAAATCGCGCTGAACCTTGGTTCAATTGCTAAAACGTCCGAAACTTAGTGTAGTAAATTTCAAATTGGGGCCTCCTGACAGTTCGGCGTGGAGAATTTTTCTGTGGCAAATCCGTGAAATTGAAGATTGTTTGCAGATTTGTTCCAGAGACACTCCATTTTCTCGTCTCGAGACGAAGAGCGAAAAGCATCCACGAATGGCTGTCTGGTGTACACTACTCGTCAGCTCATCAGACCGATATCGCCGCTTTGCTCCAGCACCCGGTTGACAATTCATCGTCTGAAAAGTAAGTACAAAGCTGTCTTCGCTTCATTTTTTATTTTCTGCTTGCACTTCTGAATTTATGAATTCCACAAGAATTGAAAGTTGAAGGGCATTCCTCTACCACCTAAGTGCGCCTACTGCCCTTGAAAAACTGAAAATGCGCGAAGTGGATCGCCATCGAAAAAAAGTGCAAAGAGAATACCGATGAGAGCAATCCATTTTTTGTGCGGGGATGAGCAGCAGACTCTCTAAGAAACGCGAAGGTTTGAGGCGAGGGAACAGATACGGAAGCGAGTGACGTGGCGGCAGAGCGAGACGCAGATACCGCAGAGATGGACGAGCATTGGTGCATTGGGTGTGCAAAATGCCACGTTTAATGCCCCCCGCGCACGAGTTCTGGCACTATCTCAGGGCGGTGGATGTACTAAAGAATAACCTACCTCTCCAGGGAGAACAGTGAGCCTAGGCCGATGTCAGACTTTGCGAATCGCGCGATTCGCTACTAGCGATTCGCGCGCGATTCGATTCGCTAGCGTCCGCGGTCGCGTTGCGGTACCAGCCAATTGAGTGATTCACTGGCCGCGACGCGACCGCAGACGCTAGCGAATCGCGCGATTCGCAAAGTCTGACATCGGCCTATCGTGAAATGTGCCTTTAATCGTCGGTCGAATTTGTCGAGCGATGTAAAAAATTGGGTGATGCGTATGCGGTCCTGGTTGTTTATAATTTATTATCGGAAACCAATTTTCATGAAATGGAACGCTAAAGTTGAAGATAATTGCATTTTGCTGTGTGGGAATACCACTGTATATCAGAACTGTTCGTTATTCGTTTTCAGGAGCTCATTTTTCCACGAGTTATGGATCCACAAAATCTTCATCCTCTACTGTTTCGTTCAGCTCTACATGTGGTATTTACATTTTCTTGTTAGTTGGACACCAGTTATGATTTTTTGTGATTTCACTCCTGTTCAGGACATGCGATAACTTCGTCTATTTTGGATTATCCCTCTACAGTACTCAACTGGCGGGCAATCCTTATACGAACTATCTCCTGATGGGACTCGTGGAGTTGCCAGCATACATTGCTGGACCAATTTTGCTGGAAAAGTATGTTCTAGTAATGCATTATATCTCCTTCGCTCTTCACAGAAACCATAAATTATCGGTGGATGTGGCCAAATGTCACCCATCGCACTATTTTGTTACTGGAAGCAGCTCACCTCTCCCTGTCTTATCGAACAGGCCTTGGATGTGGCAGTAAAACGACTGGCAATGGTCTAACTAAATTTTTCATATTTATTGATTAGATGGACGACCACCCTCAAGGGTTTGCCTTACACTAGGTCTCGCAAGAGCTTCTTCTTTTTCGATATTCTAGCTTCAAATCTATTATTTTGTATCAATAGAAATCTGCCACCAATAGTTCACTCGTATAACTT